GAATGGGACAACACGCCCAATGCTACATGGACTCGACGTTTGATTAAAGAGATAAAGTCCTGGGTGACACGAAGACATGAACAACTTAACTACCATACAACGCAATTTTTGACAGAGCATGGTAATTTTGGTGAATACACGCTCAGAATTCGCAAATCGTTACATGATGTATGTCGCTACTGTCAGGCCAAAGATACAGCATAACACACAGCTTTCTACTGCTGCAGATGGGAAAAACTAAGGTTCGACCTCAATCTACAATTGGGGGAGAACATAACAACAGAGAACATTATCAACAAAATGACCGAAAGCAACAGCAACTGGAGCAAGATTAGCACATATCTTTCTACTATATACTAAGAACAAAAGAAAAAGACGAAAGAGACTCACGACGTACACTCCTGAACACCTAATCACCCCGATGGAGGGGGGACGTAGGGAGCTATGACAAATCAGAAGACACGCAATAATAGACAGCCCACTGCCCTCGAAGTGTTGCCAAACCGGCGGTTCCGAGGGCAGTAAGAAGGGCGATTCGATATGGCCTCTTGTTCGGTCAGCACTTGCGCCGACTACGCCAAAAAATAGTAGTAGCAGTAGTAGTAGTAGTAGTAGCAGTAGTAGTAGTAGTAGTAGTAGCAGTAGTAGTAGTAATAGTAGTAGTAGTAGTCGTAGGAGTAGGAGTAGTAGTAGTGGTAGGAGGAGGAGGAGAAGGAGGTGGTGGAGAGGTGGAGGAGGTGGAGGAGGAGGAGTAGCGATAATTTCATTTCATGCTGCAGGTGAGGAAGCGCTTAAATTATAATTTCCAGTTAAAATTTTTTTTTCGAGTGCCACAATAGTATCTAACGAATTGTGTATCCACAGGCTATATGAAAAGTATCCAGTGGCGTTCAATGAATATTGATGAATAATACTCTAACAGCTAAAATATTAAACACCCAGACTGCTACTCACATGCGTTGGTTTTTAACGTCCCATCCGTACAGGGCGGTGGCGGTTAGGTTGACGTGTACGACGTCGCTGGGCTGAGCCTGGCCGCCAGCTGAACTTCTGAAGACTGTGGGACGCGTAAATCGCTCCCCGTTTAAGGAGCGTGGCCACAGCGCCACCCAGGCAGTTGGACTACTGGCTCGAGGAGTGCCAACGTCCAACCAACCTTTCGCCTCGGAATCAGTGAGTTCCTGCACACGCCAAACGTGTTCAGAGCTATCGTCAAATAACGTATCTCCAAACAGTCATGCAATCAAGTCACGTGTTATCTTGTACAACGTATCGATCTCATCACGTCATCAAGAGACCCAGAAATAATTAGGACGAGATCATCTTACAGTCAAAATTAATAAAATCATATTTATCTTTAGAAGCATAACATTTAAAATAATTTCACGGCGGTCATTCATATGTTTCGATAGTACTAACAAAAACATCATAATTTTCCCTTATTTCAGTGTCTGGTAATATTAGTAAACTATGTGACAAGTGGATAAAGTAGAGCATTATTTGCTTGTGAGAAATCATGCCATTCGGGCTAAAGCCCTCCTGTCATAATAATCTCACTCGCAAATAATATTTTAGTCAGGTGTGGTAAACAGGATAATACCATATATCATTGATTTTGCGATTATTTTTGTTTTAATTTATCATAGTAATGAATATCGGACACAATCTGATAGCGCGCTACCATGTTTATTGGTTGCTAAGATACCGAACGTAAACAAGTATAGGAAATTTTGCACCTGAGAAATGGCAGGTATAGGAAAGGAAGACTTGAAAATTCCAGAGGAAATACGAGTCGAAACTGTTGATGTGATTATGAGTTTTTTACTAAAGAAGTCAAAAGACACACATGACAAAGAATGTGAATGGAAACAGAAAAAAATAAGTGTTCGCGGAGACGTCATACTGGCATATTTACCCAGAAGGTTCCGATTTGAACAATTTTCTTGTAGTTAGTTTGCATTTGATTCATACTATGCTATTAATTCATTATCAGACAGAAGAATACAAATCTTTAACATTGTCGGCTCAGCATTTCATGGTTAAATCAACGCTTTAAGTTTATGAGAATTTCGACACAAGCGGATTTGTAAAATTAACATAGTGTTTTGAAAATTGTAATTTTCATTAAATATATGGGATACGAAAGTAAGAAATCTAATATTCTGACGAAACATGAGATTGAAAATGTCTGTATGATAATTCTTGACAACAAATTTCTAATGCATAAAGTATTTCTGGGTACTGCAATACCTTTTTTGGCGGTGTTACAATGGAGATTTTTCGTACAATGCATTGCTTGCAATGCATTGCTTACACATGTACTTTGCTGTAGATCAAGCAGCTGAGGGAACAAGTAGATGCGATGAACAGGGTAAAATGGTAATGACGATATTCAAGGCAAAAAAACTTATGGTTGTAAGTAATCTGGATTCAAAAATCAGTAAGAAGCTTTCTTTACAGGTTTAGAGGAAGAAAGTGTGAATGGAGTAAGTTTATACGTAAAGTATTTAGCCTTGAGACCACAGAAGATAGGATATAAGCAATTTTCTGTATTTATGCGAAGGGGGAAATGTTCTGTGCAGAGTGTTAGTAATACGTTACATGAGATACCTAGAGTTGTTGCCGAATATCTTAATCTTGAACATCTGGAGTAGTACTCAGGCCATTCTTTGCGTCACACTTCTGCAACTCTTCTAGCAGATTCCGGAGTAGATGTATTAACTTTTAAGCGACACGGTGGATAGCGTTCTGAGCACTTTGCGAAGAGTTACATAGAACGATCCATAGGTCTCAAAATATAGATTGCCAGGGATATAACAGGATATTACAGGGCGATGGACAGGCAATGTCTATGTCGGTGATGAGCGAATCGATATTTACGAGTATACAACCATCAAAGTTTGGAGGAATTACATTTGAAAACTGTAGCATTTGTAATATTACTGTAAATATTCGTAAGGGAAGCAAGAAACCGATGTTATATTGATTTTAAAGATGAGTTTATAGCCAGAAGCACTTTATTTTATACCATGAAATAATGGTTACTAGGCGACCGTTATTTAAATATAAACAAGCTTATTTCATCCCATGTAGTAAGTGACAATTTTAGAATCTGAACATCCGACAATAAACAATGCACAAAATTAATGGCATAAGATAAAATATGATTTTCGTCTCGTTTAATTTTATGTTTAAAATACATTCATACAAATTTTAAATGAACACTACATTATGATTATGTATACTTACAGTTTTTTGTGCCCAGGACGCTGCAGTTCCAACAGAGGGGGGATTGTAAGAAGCGACGGTAACATTACTTTGAATGCGATTTAACCAAGTAACGAGCACTGTTTCATTGCCGGCCCACGCCACATTTTGCAAAATCCTGAAAAATACCAAATGTTTATTATACTCTTCTATGTTTGAATGAATCCAAAATTCTTTAATGATTATTTATTCGAATTGTTTTTATTTTCAAAATGTGTGTACGTATGTGGCATTGATCAGTCATTTGCCAGTTCGCGGTGCTCCCAGGTCCGAGCACTGCCATTATTTACCATCCTTTGTTATTTACGCGTGGGGTGAGGGAGCCATGTGACGAATTCTCGTCGCCGAATCTAGCATACTTCGCCTGCCTGAGATTCTCTTTGATAATAGTTATATGATCTGAGTCGATTGTAATGGAAAGCTACAGCTCTATTTTTGCCTCAATCGGAAATCGAACCCGCGATAGCAACATGGAAAGCCAGAGATCATCCCCAGGTGTAATTGTAAATCAACACGTGTCTCTAAAAAAACGAATTGATTTTGTAAGATTTAAAACAGAGAGAATCTTTTGCTACATTACTAGTCTCAATGCAATTAGTTCGGTTGAAGGGCATGACGAATCACACGGTGCATATTAATTAATATCGTGCTATTAACTGATCAAGACTCTGACAACACTCCTGGTACGAGGGTGTCAGGAGAGAGGTCATAACTAGATCAGGATTACAAAGGCATTAAAAAGAAATATGTGCACACTATTGCCACTGCAATCATTGATTATTTCACAAATTCTATTCTCAAAATTGCACTTGCATTTCTTACATATACACTTCACAGTTTTAACGGTTTTTGACAAATAAACATAATTCTTCAACTATCGTAATTAAGTTGAGATAATAGTTCTAAATGATGCCCAAATTTGCCAGTAATTATGTACGTGGCTTTTTAGATAGAATAGAAAAAGAAAAAGACTAGTACTTACTCCACCCCAGTGTTAGGAGCAATCAAGGATTTTGAGTCGATTTCTTTACTTGTAAGGTTTGCTACGTGTAAAGTAACAGTTGGATTGTCTGTTCCGGGCTGCAAAACAATATAAGCAATTACGTTTCAGCAATATTATGACTAATGTTTGTTATGTTATTTGTTTTATTGTATTAGTAACACTAATGAGAACAATAAAAAAGCAGACAAGTATCTTAGAAACAGACGGTCAATAATATTTGATTGATGACAGAGATTGATAATTGATTGACAAAGAGATAATAGACATTTCCTGTTGTAAATTAGAAAATTATTTGACATAAAACTAACCTTTGGATATAACAGCACTTCGCCCTTTGTATATTGTTCGGTGCCATAAGTAATATAAGTATACGGTTTCACGTTACTATCATCGAATCTTGCATATACCAAAAATGAACCATTGGGAGAGAACCACATGGCAGAACCGGAACTCAGCACTTCCTCTGCGTAGAAGGAAACAATTATAATTTAATAAGATGAGATCCGCTCCCTTGCATGGTGGTAACACATTATTGAATAGTTAAATGATTATAGACTACTCTACTAATGATAATTCAAAATAATGATAAAAATGTGATTTTGTGGTATCACTAGCGTTTTTGAATATTTCATAAATATTAGTATTATTGAGAAACATAATTTATAAAATTATCTTTAAGAAAGAATTTTTACATTTTGTGCTAAAATGTCCAATAACACAAAAAAACACAACAGCTTGCACTAATTTATTCTATACTTACTATCAAAACAACGTACCTTCGTAAACCCAGTCTGGTACCCCATTGTAGATAAATGCTGAACCATCCCTCGTGACGCCTTTCGCAGTGTCTGATTCAGTGATGTTTTCAACGTAGTACACGTTGTTATCGTACACGTAAGCCACACCGTCGCCTTCAGGAGGCAGCAACGCTATTTGCAGGTGTTCCTCCTTATGAAGATTCTTCCACGCCCTGGATCAAATTTCAAATTCCCATGTAATGAATGTTCCGAAATGAAATAAGAGTTTCATTGCGTGTATATCTGGCTTCGGCGTTACGAAAGCAGAACAAGAGTACGAACTATATCATACTCATGACATAACCGAGAACGAAATTCTTTGAACACAAATTAACGGACGTGGGTACGAATACGATGGTTTTGGTTGTCCATCCGGCAAAAGTAATCCCATAAAAGTCCCAGCACCATGCAGCTACGTATATAGATTACATTGGTAAAACACGGGACACTATAACATCAGATTTGAAGAAAATGGTCAATTCTCAGACAGGTTTCTAAAAATCAAAGTCTTTGCAAAAAAACAGTAATTTTAGCTTCTTTTATTGTGATTGCAGAGATAGCTAAAGCTATGAAAACATTTTCTGATTACGAGTACCTCAAATTGACTTTCATTGGCTATTGAATAATTTTACTAGCGCACAGTGTTCTTACTAACAATAACTATTTAAGAAATATATTCATTAATGCTAGGCACAGTAGTAGAAAACTGTACTAAATCTATTATTTTCGTGTTTTTAATTTTGATATTCTGTTCTGATATTTTTGTTTGCATAATGCTAATAGTATAAACTTAAATAGTACGCATAAGTCTGACTGTATGAATTAAAAAGAAAGTAAAATATATCTGTTATATTTATTTTTATCCTTATATCATTTTATTATTGACTTCACATTACAATGTCTGCAATGGTATTTTTCATTACTTTTACTGATTCTTATATATTTTGTTATTAGCGTATGCGCATTTCTTGAAAATAGTTGGGTAACCCTCACCTTTATTTTTTTTAATGTAATCCTAGGGGAGAATTACGTTAGATAAACATGGTTATTTTCAAAAAAATACGTAGCTGTTGTGATTGCAAATAGTGATACAGGAATGACTAGTTCGTGCGTTCCTCTGACCGTTTCAAGTTATATTCCCGACCTCCCATTGGTTGTCAAATAAGTTGCCTGTAAGTCTTACTTCATACTACTTAATTATAATAAAAATGTGGGTGTCATTGCAGTGGTTCTGAAAGCTAAAATTAGAAGATAATTTGTAGTTGTAAAAGAACTCACTTGGTTTTAAAATTGTATACTGCGTACTTCGCTTCAGTTGAGTGTCGAAAACCCTGAAAACAAGTTCATAACGTAATTACTTCAAGATCTAACTTTAACGATTTAAAATGCACAAAAGTTACATTCTTGTTTTATACATGATTCCTTCTTTCTTTCTTTCTTTTGCCTCTCAATTTTATCTCTCATTCTCTCTCTCTCTCTCTCTCTCTCTCTCTCTCTCTCT